CTTGTGCATACTTGCTTTCATTCCAGGTCGGAACAAAAACTAATTTCCAGATGGGATTTACATTGTGTGGGCAGTTTTGAAAAGTTTTGACCAGTTCTATTAAGTCCAGAACCAGCTATTATAGTACATTAATTGGATCCGAATTGAAAGTAAACAATTGGATTTAATTAAGTGTGGGACAGAAACATTTAACCGCAATATCATATACGGTAAGGCAGGAAAGATTTGTCACATCAGTTATATAAACTGTAAACTGAGAAAGGATTCCAGGAAGAAAATAAGGAATCACACTATAATCACAGCCTTCAAAATAAGAAATTACTGCTAAAGCGTGAACACAGGTTAAAGAAAACCAAGACAAATTATTTCACAGGGGGAAAAAAAAAATCAAGAAACTAAAAACCTAACAACTAAAAACTCTTTTAAAATAATAAAAAATAATCCTGCAAGCCAAAACAAGAGAAAGTTTTATTCAGAGTGGTAGAGAAAGAAAGGAAAAAGGAAAACAGAAAGGAGAGGAACAGGGTTTTTTATTGGGTTTAAAGTTAAATTTTAAGAAGCTTGAGTAGAAATATTTCTATGGGTCCCCCCGCTGGCTCCAGGCAGACTCCTCTCCCCAACATCAGCCATCCAGACAGTTACAGTCCTTTGCAGGCTCATGTTCCAGTTTTACTCGTGCTCTGCTTTGCTTTCAATTCATTATATCCCTCCAAAATATTGCAACTCTTTGGGCGCAGGGCAGCTTTGTGAACTCGTATCATAAAAAACAAAAACCAAAATCCAAACCCAGAATGTTTAATCAAAGCTAAAACAAGGCACCAGGAAGGAGAGTGGGAAGCAGGGATGGGAACATACAAAATCCACCTGATGACAAAAGCCCTGCCCCAACCAATTTGCGATGGGTCTCAAGTGATTTTCCACTCGCGCGAGATGCTGGAGACAAGGCAGCGTGCTGCAGAGCGGGGCTGCCCGTGGGCAGGGGGGTCCCACCACCACTGCTCGCACAAAGACGAGATGGCAGCCCATCTAAAACAGCCGACAGGCACCAACAGTGCCCAGCGCCAAGCACGGCCAGAGCACGGTTCACCCTAAACGAGACGATCTCAACCTGAAAAGCCACTTTCCAGCCTGAAAACATCACTTTGGCAGAAAACGGGGGAAAGCCTCGCACCTCTATTTTCCCTCAGCTTGTTTTCCGTGTCTTTGACCAGGCTGAACGGCCAGGTCCGTCGCTCGTTTTGCAGCTTCCCTTCCCGAGCATCGCCTGGAAGGACCCTGCTCCTCTGGGCAGCAGGAGCCCATCGCCCAGCAGCATCCGTCTTCTTCGCCAGATGGGAGCAGGGACAGAATAGGGGCAAGGGGACCCACACGGATAAGATTTCATGCTCAGAGCTGCCTGAAGTATCTCTCTAAAAGCTCCCAGGAGAGAACGAACTCCAGTTTATATGTATTTCCATGCATGAAAAGTATTTTCAAATGGAAATAAGGTTTAACTTCAGGGCATGCAAATGCTACACTGACAAGTTATAATTACCCTACACCAGACATCACAAATGTAGGCAATATGGAATGAAGATGACACTTAAAATAAAACTAAATATGTTAAGGTAGGAGATACCTATTAAGTCATGTACTGAAGCTAGCCCTGACGAGCAGCGATACCAACCCAGCTGTACAGCTGTGGTAAGAGCAGGTTTGTATTTGTGACTACGGAGATTTTTGAACTATCATTTTTCTCCCATTACACAACAGCGGCTGAGCTTTTTTCTAATCTTTGCTGTTTATTTGTTTTTTTTCTGCACCATCTGTGCACAAGACCTCAAATTATTTCAATTATACAGAAAATTCAAGTATCTGAAGTTCCAGTCTTGTTAAGATCACCAGAAACACAGGAAAAAAAAAAAAGAAGAAAACAAAGAAACAGATGCTATATTTCTTTTAAAAGCCTTTGCTTTTGATTATCTCATAAACTAATCAGGTTAAATTTTTGCACATAAAAACTAAGTTATTTTGTGCATGAGCATGGAACTTCAGAAAGGCGATACCGAATTTTTCATACAAAAAACGAGTTTTAGTATTAAATGGAAAAGTACATGTATTTTCAGCGTTACCCGCGGGACTACAGCAGTTCCTCTCCGAAGTGTCTGCAATGTGGAACCTATCAGGATAATTTTTAGCTGACCGCATACAAACAATTACATATCATTACAGAGCTGTGAATAGCTTTTGCATGGATAGCGTGCCTACGGTCTCCTGTTACACTCAGCTCTGCCTGCCAGACTAGGGGAACTCAGTGAGGTCCTGTAGAACCACGGCTTCACCAGCGCTGATGGTGAAAACCTTGTCGTCCTCCACCAGGACAGGCGCTCGAACAGAGGGACGTCCCCCTGCACGATGGCCAAAAGGGACATTTCCAGGTGGGTTTCAAGGCACAGCACCAGCTGGTGACTCTTGCCCACCAGGAACGAGGTCTTGAGGTTGTCACCTTCCTGGTAGAGAGCGTGTAGACACCTCTGAGCTCCTGAAAACAAGTTTCTAGCACGCAAGCAATCTTCACCCAGACTTACCGAGCGCTGCAGGGACCTGAGTGCAGAGGCATCCCTTGTTCTCTGCTCTGCACTTTTGGGGGTCTACAGAGCTGGGGATCAGGTCCCTCTGCAACCCCAACCTGTTCTGCTCCTGACCCACAGCATGAGCTCCTCCCTAGCAGCTGAGAGCCCTATCCTACAGCAAATGTAAGACAAAACTCCTTTTCAGGCTGGTTTCAGCACTGGTGCTCTGCCTCTCAGCTGGTGGAAACCTGCAGAGCACATGGGCAGTTATAGCGGCCAAGATGTGTGTCCTCCCTAACCATGTGAATGTTCCCGCTTGCTGGAGTCGACAGAAGAAATGATGTTCGGGGGGAAAAAAAAGGAATCACGATCCAATGGAAATCCAGAGAGTCTCCCTGGAAAGACATGATGTTAAGTGTTAATTACTGGGAGAACAATATTTGCGGGGGCAAAAGTATACATCCTTCTCCAGAAATTGGTACAAAGCCATTGAAAGTCCCCCTAGATCCCACAGACCAGTCTTGACTTCTGCTGTAACAGTTCTGCTTCTATATTCGCTAGGGTTTTCCTTCTGGGCATCCTACAGCTCATAAGGCACATGGCTTAGTCCCGTTCTTCTAACAAGCCTTTCCACCGGGTCTTGGGGTCAGAGTGTTCCCATAATACAATAAGCGCTGTATGGATCTCATAAGCTCCAAGGCACAGTATGTTATGTGTTTGGAATTCCTTGTATGCTTTTATACTTTGTTTTACATATTGTAATTTTTATATGCATTACCACATTGATCCTTGGAAAATTAATTTTAAAAAAATATAATCAAAAGCAAACACATACTTTAAAAGCCTGCCAGCGGCAAATCATGTTCTGTGAGACTGCACTTTGTAACTGACAAAGAGACCAAACCACCAGACCGTGGAGGCGATCCAGTGGGGTGGATTTACCAGGCTCGGGAGGGGACAGGATCCAAGGGGGCTGTAGTCCACCCCTCCCCGAGTCCCTCATTAGGGTAGCCTGATGCCGCAAAAGCATTGGACCCGTGACAGAGAGGCAGAAATGCAATCGCACGGCTCCGCCAGCCAAACCCCACCACCATACCCAAAGGTATCATATCTAGAAAGGGTCTGTGCTTCTCAGCGCAGCGCTCCTCCGCGATGACGTCCAGCCACTGGTGCCAGTATGACCACCAGACCTTCCCTGGAGAGCTGGAGCACCTCGGCCTTCCCAGCCCCTTCCTTATTCTTGGGTAAGACCTGGGATCAGTGCGTTTGGCAGTGCTGAACACGCGTAAAGTCACGGCTTTGCAAGGTCAGAGGTATGACTTCCAACGCCCACATCCTCTCTTCCCATCAGCTCCCCTTCCCATGCCATGTGTCCTGATGTTACACCTTAGGAACAGCATTCATGCAGCCAAGATCAAACTTCCTAACCTCCGCCCTGCTCCATTGGTATTTTCTCATTTCCAAAGGCGCCCGCCCTTCTACGCTCTTGGTCCCCTCCCTGCCCTAGTTCATTCCAGATAATGTCTTTCTCCTCTCCAGCACCCTTTCTTGTCCTTTCTACAATGCCTTGAAAAGCTGAGTTGTGTAACGCTGCCCCTTTTAACTCTAACATGCATGTGGTGTATATCCAAACTGGAACAATGGCTGAGACTATTCTTCTTAAGTCAGCAGTGCTCTTAGCTTGACCATGTAATGAGGACTTCCCACGCAGGAGCAGACTGGTGCACCAGGAAGGCCAGTATCCACGTCCACCTGGGTACCACCAGCTGCCTCAAAGACAGTGGTAATGACTGTCATGACAATTAGGCAAGGACAGATTATCAATCTATTTTCCACACTCATATCCCCCTGCAGCAAGCTTCATAGGGGTTGCATGTTATACAAAAGGCACACAGTATTACTTCCGCCTGCTTTCCTGTTGGATTTACCTTTCTCTTTATGTACAGAGGTGACCCATGGACCTATACCTGGACATGAATCACAACTAGGTGTCACCTATGCCCCAGGTTTCAGGGACCAATACGCCCTCTGACGCCAAGCTGCTAGGA